GTACAGAATTTCGATTGATATGTCGAATGAAAGAATCTTTGTTCAATCTTTCAGTCAAATATCGTGCATAAGCAATGGAATCCTTGCAAGCCGAATCTATTCATTCAAAAAAGACTAATCACCATACGTCACGGACGGAACATTAAATTGTTTTAATTCTGTTGCAAAATTCATAGTGGTTAATATAATAGAGAGTAAACTGTACACATTTGGCTAAATTTCATTTCAGTTCACCAGCAGCACCCATCAATGCCGGTCAATGCCGGCTTAAAAGCTAAAAACGCTAGACGCGAGTCTATTATTATATTTTTAATCGATATTAAATTCTGAATAGAATTAACAAAAATTAAGATATCGGCTTCAAATCAGCCAAAAAATTTGAAAGATCTTCTTCTGATATTAATCGATTAAAAGACACGCGCACTATACATCATAAACTGAAAATTGATTTTTTGGTCTTTACTTGTACGCCTCAGTAGATACGACGATGAAACTTTATAATAATAATCATAATAATAATACTGATCCGCAAAAGTACGCGAATAGGTAAGAATCGTGACTACCAAGTCAATGTTTACGACTTCAAATCTCAGAGTAAGTAATTAGCTGTAGGGTAAAAAATTTATCGCTTTAACGATTAAATTGACTTGGGGATAATTGATCTTTTGAGGCTGTCCACCAAAGAACCCATTTTTGGAGTTTCGTCGTAAGAATGGTTGTCGTGCTTGACCAGACAATACTGATACTGATTAAAACATGTGTTCACCGAAAGGAGTAATGTCTGCTGACAACCGCGCAGAGTTTTACTATATGGAATCAAATTTATTTCTACTGAAAATTCAGGCTATCGCGCACATATTTGGCTGCAATTGCATCAGTTATTGTTGGTTGGAATAAAATATAATGCACTACGTCCTAGCCAAACCAACCTCCCTCCAAAGAAGCCGACATGAGTTATCAATTTTATCGCCGATGTTAATAACTCGCCTACTACTTACAAACAATGGATATCGTGACGAATCCATCACTCCTCTCACTCATAAATATTTAAAAGCACTGCACTACGAATTAGTTACGGCAAGCAAGTAAAAAGTAAAATTTCCCGCCAATAATGATTTTTTGGCGGGGAGTTCCATCTTTGTAAAGCTCTCAGAGACTATGGAATAACTTACATAGCTTCGCATAGCTAAAAGAAGTCACAGTTCTATTCATCACCCTACAATACTACTAACACGCCTTCTTAGAAAATATCTTGATAATGTTCGCACACCTAATATTTAAAAATAAAAATAAGTGAAGAATAATAAGATCGTTGATAAGATAATAAATCGTCTTTGAATTTCGAATGCGTTCCCCCAAATTTGTGTCATTTTCGATATAATTGCTCCCATGTCTTTACATCGAAGCAAAGTATAATATTAGGTATTAAGGGATGGCTTCTATTTTTTTGTACTCATTAACAATATTTAGAAGCAAGCTTCAGATATTCTTAGATCAGTTTCATAGTCTAAATGGATCAGCTGAATGGAAACAGCTTTATCAGCCCTTCGTTCGAGGTTATTGCATGCGATCTTGGGGAAGTACCCGGCCGTACCCGGCCAATATTGTACAGTATCGGCATTTTATTTTGATCGATTTTATTTGAAGAAGTATAGAAGATTCTTAGAGTCATCGAACCGAGTTATTCTACCACAAGCATCTTATTCATAAGGCACTGATTCTTTCGATTACTAGTCCTTTTGACTGATGCCCTTTTGCTCGTCATTATAGCGTTTCATTGCCTATCACATGAACTCTTTTTAGTCTTCACAGACGATTGTTCTCTCGACTAGTAGCTCGACTAACGAAATAAATTCTTAGACTAAAAAAAAAAAAAGACATTGAGCGCTAGCAACACAGGCTATCGGCTCTAATTTAAATAAATGTACATTAGTTAATGAGCTTAGTAGGATTAATAAAGTAGTATATATGGAAGTGATATTCAATTCTGAAGCTGATTTTAGAATGTCCAAAGGGTTAATCGTTCCAAGTGCAATACTTCTAGCCAAGGAAAAGTTAAGGCAGTCGCAGACAATGTGCTTTATAGTGAGAATTTGTTCACAACTGCAGATTGGAAGACTTCTTCAAGATCCATTGGTTAGTTGCAATTGTATGACCAAGACGAATTCTCGAAAATCTTTGGATCTTGGTTTTCCTCAACATTTGTTGTATATAAAGGTGGAGTTAATTGAGGGTTAATGGAAGAGTAGTCTTGATGATGATATTGTAAATTTCCTTCTGCAATTTTCTCTTTAACTTTTCTTCCAATGTATCTTTGAAGATCCAACTTTTCCACGAAATTATCCATAATTAGAGGAGCAGAAGCAGCATACTTTGCCGCTCGATCAGCCTGCTCGTTTCCCAATAAACCGATGTGACCTGGTACCCATAACACTTTAATTTTTCCATCGGGTGTTGTAATTATATTCCTTAATTTGTTGATGGTGCTCCATCTCGAAGTCGAAGGATTCCGAATAGCTTGTAATACAAACAAACAAACTGTCGGCAAGAATGACGGTTTTGAGTTTATTGTTAGGAGCAATGTTCGCAATGTGAAGGATAGCTCTGGCTTCGGTTATGAAAGTTGAAGTGCTTTCGTGAAATATGTGGTTGAGAAGAACCTGTCCCGTAGCATCTACCACGGCAAAAGCAGGAGGCAGGCTTGAAGATTTTGAGCCGTCTATGTATAAAAGATTCCAACCAGTACTCTCCAATACTTGCGTTTTTTCAGCTATTAGATTCCTGAAGACGTAATTTGGAGTATCTTCTTTCTTGTGCATTGACAGCGAGATGTCAAAAGAGCAATCTTTCAAAATCCATGGAAATTTAACACCAAAAGAGCGGAAAATTTTTTATAAAAAAGATTAATTTTTATGAAAATGAAAAGGCGTTTAAAAGCCGATTTTGAAGAATATTCTGAAGAATATTTCGTTGCACTTACTTTCTTTGAAATGAGGCTTCCCAATGCAAATCTGAAGATATGGTTTCATTCAATAAAATGTTTGGTCGCGAAGCTTAGTGCAAACGTCTGTCGCGCTTGTCCGTTCAAGATGCGGGCTTCTTGCTCTCATAAAAGGCATTTCGAAGAAAAGCTCAAGGCAGAACAATATCTACAAATAATACTTCGACAAATATCTGGTTTCAAATCGATTTTATATTTCAAGCAGATCAGATGGATGATGATTTATGGGAAAATAAATTCAATTTCGACTTTAATCATTCTTATTTTGATAGAATGCTTACTAAATGAAATTATTGCGGCTCCACTTGTGGTGCAAGGTCATAAGTAAGTTTTTGCGGATGTATGCAACACAGTATTCAGAAAGTCTTCAGATAGACTTACGTTTTATTATACCGATCAATTCACGACCGTTTTTCGATTTGATTTGAGCGTATCCTACCGTTAGTCTGCCTTTGCTTTGCTTGTGCGAAACCGACAGGGTGTCATTTTTTTGGGTACTCGGCGTTTTTTGGCCTAAGGACGAATATTATTGAAAATGGTTGGGATCGGATCACTTTTACGATTACTTTTCATATAACGTTTTATTTTGAAAAGTCGTTATCTATTTGTATATATATATGTGAGGCGGTGTGGGGTATTTAATAGTGAGCGGTGATCCATTTTTCTCCTAAACAGTAAAAATTCGTCTAGATTATATATTAATATATATTATAGATTAATATATATTATCTAAATATATATATATATTTAGATATTTTTGTTCGTTTCAGAGAAATTTTTTGGAAAGCGATTTTTTCTGGAAAACTTAGCGGCATATATCTGCAAGAGGATATATTCTTCTTTTCAGCTGATCTAAATTTTTAATGGAGTAATTTTCTTAAGAATTAAACGAATTTAAAAACAACAACAACAACAACAACAACAACAGCAACAATACACAAAGGAAACTCAAAACAAAGAAGAATAAAACACCAACAGTATTAAAATAGATATATATTCGGCATATATACAAAATGAAGGAAAGTAATTAAATGGACTAAAACTAAAATATTGAATAAAAAAAACTAAATAAATAAATAAATAAAAAAACTGCATTAAAGTTGTGGTCTGACAAAATAAAGAGTGAATAAATATTTATAAGGAAAAAAAAAAAAAAACAAAAAACAAAAACATTAACTATACGAACAAAATATTAATTCCCAAGAGTTTTCACAGAAGAACAACGCAAAAGAAAAGCAATTTTTTTTTTTTAATGAACAATATTAACAATAATATTTAGATAATTTTTGCCTCAAAATAAGTGTGTATATGTGTGTGCATAGGTATATGTAAGACTTTAAAGAAACTTTTTTCTTAAACATATATAAAAAACAAAAAAAAAAAAACAAAAACAAGAAATTAAGTAAACAATCTATTGATGTCTACGAATATTATGATAAATTAAAAATTTTATATGAGCTCATTGCGTTGAAAAAATTGCGTATGTTTAATTGGATGTGTTTGTGTGTGTGTGTGTTGTATGTATACGCGTGCATGTATGTCTGTCGATTCCAGTACGACTTAAAGTAATTAAAAATTATTTTATGTGCGACGAATATTTATAAATAAAATCGAGAGACTGTGACTTTTTCTTCGTCTAACTTCTTTTTTTTTTGTTTTTTTTTGTCCAAAAAAAAAAAAAAAAAAGAAAAAGAAAAACCTCTTTTAACTAAAATAAGGAGAAATGCAAGGACTTCCAACGATTTTATGAAAATTTCAGAAAAGTCACTAAAGAAATTTGTAAACAGTTTATAAAATAATTATCGGTTAACATATAAATGAAGACAACAACAAATCGCAAAAAGGGACAAAAAGGCCAAATTTATTCGTAGTTAAGAGAAACTAAGTATAAAATAGAAAAAAAGAAAAAAAAAAAAAAAAAGAAAAAGAAAACAAACAAACATACCAAGCACTGCAATAAAAATTTTAAGAAAAGGGTTTGTGACTAAATATAAATTTTTTTTAAAAAATAAAAACCAAAAATAAAATAAACAAAACATTTTTATAAAAATTATAAAATTATGCATTTTACTAAAAGCCGCGCCGTCAAAAAGCAGAACATGATTTGAAAGCAAAAACAAAATCGTTTTTGTCACCAAAACGGAAAAGTCGAGATTTTGACTATATCAACTAGGAATCTGAGAGAAGCCTGAGAGATAGGTAAGTTCAAATATATATACAAAACTTATATATATATTGAAAAAATATTGAAAAGTCCCCTGCAAATCTAAAGGATTGATTTAATAAAGAAGTTAACTGAGTTAAGAATTAATTGACTCGAAAAAGATCTTACAAATCGTTACGAAACCATTGAAAATTTGAAGAAATCATTGCAATAAAGATTTGGTCTCTAATCAGACCTCTTACTGAGTGCAAAATCACGAATTAACTGCCGGAAACCGTCTGATGGTAAGGCGGGTAGGGGAAGAATTTATAATAAGAAGAGTCGCTCAAACTGAAGAAGTTTTTGTTCCGGGCACCTTAGGAATCAATCGATTTTCTCTATTTAGAAATGACTGCAGGTCAGGCTTCAATATTCAGTTCAACATTCTATTCGATATTCAAGTGATTCATGCCATTCTAGGTAACGAACGTAAGAATCTATAAATACAACCATGTTCTGCGTAGTAAATTCGCAAAAAAACGCAACTATTATATACACTGCAGTGCGTACTGTAAAGTACTTATTGCGTGGCATAGGCAAGTACTAGACTGCGTAGCAAATGCGTATGCTTACTGCAAGTACGTAGTATATTACAAAGATATATGTACTGAGTAACAAGTGCAAGCAAATACTGCTTGGCTTATGCAAGCATATACATTGCGTATTGCACGTACTGCATAGCACATTAAAATACATACTGCGTAGCAAATGCAAGTACATACTGCAAATGCGTACAATGCAGTAAATTAAACTGTATACCGTAATTACGTACTGCGCAGCACATGCAAAATGCATTATTTAAATACATATATCCAATGCATACTGCGTAGCAAATAACAAAATATTCTGCGCAGCATACACAAGTCTTGCTATATAATTCATGTAAACGTATATGGCTTAGCAGAGTCAGGCACATAATCCTGCTTCGCACTTCTGAACAAGTACATAAACAGATTGAGTAACGCATGCAAATACATATGGCGTAAGACATAAAGCCACGCACATGTAATGCAATAGATTAAGGTTCACACAAAGTAAAGCTTTAGGTTAATCACTTTCGAAACGCGAATCAGTTTCGAAGCTTGAAGTAGTCCACATTTTCGAATGATAAGCAAATTTTTATGCTTCACCGTTTTGCGAATAAAGAATTCTAACATAATTGGAGCTTGGAATTAATTATTCATTATAGGTAAGATGTATGATTTAAAATATGTAGTGGGTAGTGGGTGAGAAAATTTTTAATTTAGAGAAAGAGGCGAACGAATCGTTTCAACATTGTTGAATTTGTATTTATCTTCCCGTTCACTGCACGCGGCCATATGCACTAGATATCCCATCAAAAATGTTAGTGATTTCGATTTGATTGAACTTTGTCTGTCGGTTTGTTATCTCATAATTAAAAGTTCCAATGCAGAAATTAGAATAACAAATCCAAACACGGCGTATGTATTTCTAATTGACAGTGAGACATTAAATCGGAAAATGGGATAGATTCGATTACAACGAAAGTGAAAATCTATGGATAGCAATTAATAGCAAATATTGATCAGAGACTTCGTAAAAGCTTTGAAGGGGACCATCTAGAATCTTAGCGTAAAATTGATCGTGAACCAATAACCATCAACAAGTTCGCTAAAGCCAACAATTATAATGCACACTATATATAAGAGATGTTGACAGGCGTATTAACATCCGACGCAGAGGCCAGTATAAAAGTAACGCTCTTTGATGATAGGAAAAATGAAACATCGTCACCCTTATATACTTTAAAATATCAAAAAAAAAAAAAAGAAAAAAAGAAGATTGCTAGGGCTCATCTAAAAATGTTAAGCTTACGACTCCTGTATACCTAGCTAAGATTAATATTAGTAGGGATGGGTTCGAGCAGCAATTATTTTGTTTTTATTTACATCGTTTTTCCATATGAGCCAATCACTGTATGCAAAGTAACATTCATTTGCTTGATGCCGTTTTGAACTTTTTAAAAAATTGTGAAAAAATTATTCTTTATATACCAAGTTACTCTCCTTGTGCTTCGAACAGGCAAACTATGTTAAATGAATTCCTGCCTTATAGTCTTTTGCTTTATCGATAATATTCAATTTGATTAAGGGGATTCTAAAAGGGGATCGAAAATTCTTCAGTCTATATGGTCAACTATTCGAAGGAACCTGTCCGCATGAAATTATAATGGTGTATAAGCAAGGGATATGGTTAACGCATCAATTATCTGAAACCATTTTTCATATAATTGTTTTCCAGATTTCATAGAGATCGATTTCTTAGCACAATTTTTGTGAATTCACGCTAATCACTCTAACAAAGATTAAGAAACAACTAATTGACTTGTTACAATTTGAAGGATTTATTAATTATGTTAATGCCACTGGATGATCAAGCCAATACTTTGATTTTAAGTACAAATTCAAACAAATTCTCGATAATCGCATTAAATTTTTTACAATATAGTTTAAGATCTACATATAAGACGTGAAATAACTGTTCAAGTATAGATAGACACTCGATAAACACGGATCAAAAGAAAGCCGAAATAAATTATTAGCATGAGGTTAGAATGTTGAACACTCCGCTGCACTTCAATGCATGAAGAACGATCTTTTTGATTCATCCGAGAAGTGGTTCCAATGTATCACTTGAATATAAAAATTTAATCACTTACGTTAGTTTGTATTGTGAGGACCAACTTAACTCAATTAGGTCTGCAAAATTTCGTCTGTTATTATAGACGGTGTCTCTAAAAAAAAAGATGATATCTTCCGGCTATTGATTGCAAGATTCAGCTAAAACACCGAGCTTATAACTGAAATAATATTTGTATGCATTTTTTCCCCATTTCTACTTGAAATAGCTTTTGTTCACCGGTTGCCAGTTTTTTCAGATGTTGCGTTCAGTTTTAGCATATATTATAGTTCTTGACACAACAGCAGACTGCACCACAATTTTACTGCTGCAAATTGATTTACCATAATTTAATCGCTTGAGTACCTGATTATTATTGAACGGCCGTTGCATATACTTAGCATAGGTCGATATGAGGACTAAACGGTTTATTATAGTTCGGAACTTGCTATAGAGACTGAAAAACTAAGCCAATGCTTTTACTAACCATAGTGGATCAAGGATTTTCGTACAGATAGACACACATATATGTATATGCAATAGTTAAAAATTAACATGACCGTAGGCGAATAGGAATAAAAAATTTTAATACAATTCAAGACCTGAATTAATCGTCTCAATGTGATTTGAGATGAATAAGTCAATTGTCGCAGATTTCAAATTAATTTTTTTTAATATTGCTTAAGATCAAAATTAAGTATAGTTTTTGTAAAGATCGGAACTCAACGTATTGCACAGCATTTACATAACTTATTCTCATGCATTCAAATAATGAAAGAAAGCGAGACTTGAAGTAAATTTTAAGTACCGCCCAAGACACCAATAAACATTTCTCGTATATTAGGTAATCAAAAAAGTAGTCACCGTTATTTGGTAGCCACACTTTTGTCAAAATTTGAATCAATGACTCATTGATGACTGTACACAGTTAATAACGTTTGTAACAGCTGCGTCAGTAAGTCATTTACTTCTCAAATTCGTTGAAACTAATAGACATAAATTCTGTATGCTTTTTGCGGCCTAATCAAACTCAAAATAATTACTATTAACGTTTGTTGTACAAATCGAAAATCGTTTTTAAATATGACAACATATTAAGAAACAACTTAAGCCGCGGATAATTAATCCTTGATGTTGATAGCCTGATATTTCCCAGATGCAATATATCTTGCACGCATTGCGTGTTTTACTAGCAAAAAAAAAAAAAAGATTAATAATGTTTGAGCAAATTTTATAGATCAACTCTCAAAAGCGTAGGGAGCGTGCGAGTTCATTGTTCACAATATAAAAATAATTTTTTCCCGTCGTTCGCTTAAATGAAATATTCGATTAAATCTCTTATTGTTAGGCAATTGGCTTGCAATTCTACAATTGCGAAGTTCGATCACAATTTCAATATTGAATGATGTTCAGTAAGTATAACTTCCGTTAGGAATATTTTCAATAATTTAACATGATGCGAATATTTGTGTCATTTGTGGACATTTGCTGAATGAATATTTGCTACCAGATATCGAACTTACCTGATTTTCTAAACAGAATAAGAAACTAGTTAGTTAATCACAATTTATCGAAATATTCCGATTCGAATGTTGAATTTGACCATTAATGAGACTTCAAAATTGTATTGGGCAAGTCAAAATCGATATTCTTCAGATCGGAAGTACAGTTTTCAGTTAGCCGCAAATTGAATGAAAAAAAAAATAATAAAAATAAATAAATTTGACTCGTTGATTAAGGACTAAGTTGCTTAGCTTAGTGGGATTTCAATTGAATTAACTTAAGTAATTTTGAAATCTTCAGCACATTGAAATTTAATTTACTTCAGATGCTAGATGCATGTGAAAATATTAAAGTTTTCATCAAAGCAGAAAAGTTTATGGGATTAAGTGTTAACTTGAATTGAAAAGAATTGTATTCAATTCTATTCTTCTTTCAATTTTCGAGCATATGATGTATTAAATTTCTAAAGAGGGTTGACGGGCGATGAATGATCCTAACATACGCATACCTATGTACTTCTCTGTATATAATATCTGCTTATATATATTAAAAGCAGCAATGTAATCTCATGTGCATCTCTCCTGTACACATAAATACACACACACACACACATACACACACATATATATGTGGATACATAGAATAATAAAAGCTTATACACTTGATTACGTGCAAGAAACAACAAAAAGCTCTATACAATACAAAATGTACCGGTAATGGTCAAGAATGAGTCAATGAGAGTAATATATTATTTATGTATATAGATGCATGCACGTATTGGAATAAGCAGATTTTGTAAGGTGGGTAAAATGCCATATAACATACAGATAAAATCCTATTTTGCAACATCACT